CTAAACCTAGAGAATGAAACTGCAATTACTGGGGTCTTGATTCTTCTGTTGGAACATTGCCACTCCATCTTAATTTCTTTAAGAGAACACTTGTCAATTAACAATTTTGTATGAAGTTTTTCGGGATATTTTTGGCAGAGTTCTTGAAAATCACACAAAATTTTGCGCAATACTCCGCAGAAAAGTGGAAGTTTGGTTGGAAGGTTTTGAAAAATTAAGGGGAAGATTCAGGGAATCCAGAAATATTGAATCTAGGGAAAGAAAGTAAAAAAGGCAGAGAAAATTAAGAAACTAGAGAAACCTTGCATCACTCAATTTCCAGAGTTTTGGGACGAAGGTTCTTTTTCTGGTCGATGCTCCCTTCTCTCTTTCTCAGGGTGTCTACAAGTCCGGAAAGTCAGGAAATAGTGTTGATTTTTAAGGGTGGTCTGGAAGTACTGAAAAAGTGCGTTTATTCCTTAAGAAGGTCTGGAATTTTGTTTAATTTGTTGTCATTTTTGTCGCAATTTGAGCAAGAAATTCAAATTTTTGAAATTTTTCGGATTTTGTTAATAGGAGGTACTGAAAAAGTACTGAATTTTTACTGTTGAAGAGGCACTGAAAATCTTGGGAATATACTGAAAAACTACTGTAAAAGTACTGATCTTTGGCCAGCCTGTTTTACTAGACACCCTGTTTTTGGAAATGAACACTTAGTAACATATTCATCCATGAACTTATTGAATTTATTTTCAGAAAATCTAGTGAATAAATTAATGCCAGCTTGTGGGAGAATAAGCTCCGCAGCAGAGTTGGTGCCTGACAGTCGAGATCTCAAAGGTAGAAGCAAACGGAGATGGAGCAGACCAAGGACTGAAGAGGAGAAGCAAGAAGATCTTCTACCGCAGTTGAAGCCTAAAGAAGGAACTGAACTGCGGTAAGTATTATCAAAAAAGCCGTTTCTCTGTCTTTTTTATTTTATTTTACGAGACCTAAGCAGGGTTTGTGGCGCCTTTTGAAGTTTTTAAATTATTATTTAGTGTAATCAAAATTTTCAAGTTCTTAAATTTCTTTCAATTTTAAAATTGCAAGACATACTTGAAAGCTTTTGATTTGGAATTGATATAAGTACTGTAAGTGATGATATTAGTATCCAAGTTCATTTCTGGAATATCCATTATGACCTTACATTTTCTTTAAATTAAAACTCAAAAGAAGCAAAAGTCTGGCAGATAATTTTTTTCAACTTTTTACAAACATTTAAACTACATTTTTCCACAACCTAATTTTTTTTTTTTATCTTAGAACCTCAGGACTACTATCTCCTTTAATTTTTGAGCTTCCAGGGTCAAACTTGTGCTGAAATTTCTAGATTTTTCTTCTCCATACATTTGAAAAAAGTTTTGAAACATTTTTCCAGGAAGACAAAGCTCCTTTTCACAGACCCAGTCACAAATATTTTTATTTTTTGACTGTCGGATTCAGTAACCCCCCCAACTTACATCCATAATATCACTTTTTCTCTGGTAAATTAAGGTTTGATTTTGAATTTTCAGTTTTACAGAGCCTCCAGAAGAAAGTTATCCTGCTGGTAGCACACCGGCAGAAATTACAAAACACAATCTTGATACTTCGTACGCTTTTGAAAGAATGATCTCTCAGCATGATGAGTAAGTTGTTTTGTCTTTGAAATAGTTTTAATTTGCGCTTGATTGCAAAAACCCAATGGTTTCCCCATGGTCAAATTGAGTTTTTGTTAGAATTAGGTATATAGCTACAATTTAGGGGCACTCGTCTCAAGGAACTTTCTTAGTCTACGAAGACTATCTCTCCAGTGAAAAATTGACCATAAAAATAAGCAGGGTGGCAAACAGTCTTATAAACTAATTTATGGACATTGATAGTTTTTTTATTTATTTTTTTTTCTTGGAGGGGAGGGGGGGGGGGNGTAATTTTTGTCTTTAATAGAAACTATGATTAGATGATTTGTGTAAATTTCTTTATGAAAATTGCAAATCAATCAAAAAGTTGATACAGTTTTGAACAGGCAGTTGTATTGATCTTTTTGCAAAGACCCATCGTGGCCCAGAAAAGTGTGGAGGCCTCTTAACAAATTGTGGAAGCCAAGAGCTCTTTGGACCTTTAAAAAAAGGTCCAGTCACGAGTTTTAAGACAGGAAGTGACCATTGCAAGAAAATCTGTTTATGAAGAAAACTTGATTTTCTTGAAATCATGAAAGTGTCACTTATTATGTTCAATATGAACACAGATACTATTTCAAGTCTTTCTTCAAGGATCTATATGCAATCGTGTTTTTTTTTTACTTTGTATGAAAGCAAAACATGTATGCCAAACATGTAAGCCAAACATGGTGCAGAAAATGCATGATCTTGTAATCCTAGGATCAAGGCAAACAAAAAGCAAATCTTGCAAAGTGAGACAATTTTCAAAAGTTATGACTTTTCCGGTTTTTTTTTAGCATTATGGTTATCATAAAGGGAAGATTTGCACATTCTACAGAGAAAACGAACATTTTGTCATAAAATTAAACATCTGGTCATAATTCGGAAATGAGGTATGAGGCAAAAACGCAAAGTTGTAGCTAGCGGCCAGCATATCCAATGAACAATCATGAATATTTTATGAACACGTTTTTTATCCACACATGATTGCATGTTTTTCCTCAAGATGCTCTTCTCCTTTTTTTCAGACCGTTAAATTTCGTCGGAGAGATCCAGTTTGCCTTCATCTGCTTCCTAGTTGGACTAAATTACGAGGCATTCGAACACTGGAAATCCATGATTCAGTTAGTCTGTCGTTGTGAAACAGCCATCTTTAAACGACCAGCAGTGTTCTCTGAATTCGTTTCAACGGTTGAGGCACAATTAGACGAGGTTCCAGAAGATTTTTTAGTCGATGTTGTTACTTCTAACAATGTGATATACTGCTCTTTAAGAGATCTCTTTACCACACTTCAACTTACCGACCTTGAAATTGAAGGACGATTGCGATGTAAAATTAGTAGGCTTAAGGAAAAACTTACCACAAAATTTGAATGGGACTTTGATAACTTAGATGAGGAATGTGAAGAAGATGCACCTGTTATTGTTTATACTGAGTAAAAATTGTTATATTTGGAATTTAATCAAGCGTTTCTGTTTAGTTATTAAAGTGATCCTTTCAATTTTTTTTTTTTTTTTTTTTTTGGTTCCATTACCAATTTCATTTGTTCTAGACTGAACCAAGTTTAACAAAAAAACGCTCCTAGTCGTATCAAGTTCTAACCAACAAACGGAGGTTTGTTGCTTTACTCTTCCATAAGACTCAATATTTAAAACGAAATTTAATAACAATTTTCATGTTCAAAATGTTTTTTCTCGGCTTTGAGTTTTGTGCAGGAAAAAATTCAAGACTCATTTCATTCAAAACTACTCCGATTTGGTTTTTTTTTTTTTTTTTTTTTTTTTTTTTTTTTTTTTTTTTTTTNTTTTTTTTTTTTTTTTTTTTTTTTTTTTTTTTCCCAAAATGCAACTACCTAAGAGCTTTTCTGTTAAATTTAGTCCAATTGCCGTGACTAGTCATGATGATAGTCACCTTTACTATTAATTTTAGACACCTTTCTCCCCAGTTTTACCTATAGTTTTAATAATGGAAGCACAGACATTGTTACATCAACTCGCAGAAAACCAATATATGACTAACCTACAGCCTGTGATTCCAGGTTCAAAACTGACTTCAGTGCCAGATTAAGGGGGGGGGGCTACATGTGCCGCGGCCCTTGGTGGAAAATTTATGGGGCGGCAAATTTTGCAATTTTTTAAATGTGGCAATGGAGTACGTTTATAGACAGAGTATGGATTCGTATCTTTTTACTACAGGAAAACTGTTCCCCTTTTTGATTGGTCAACGAGTTTTTAGGCTTCATGATGCTCTTAGGGCCGTATATAAACAAACAAGATGGCGACTCACCGTAACATCGATGAGAAGCTAAATTTGACAGGAATTTCAATTATACGGCAGTAACAATTTAAACTAACATATCTACGAATAACACACGAAAAAAACAAAAATACAGGCTGGGCCTCGTAATTTGGTCCGCGGTGGTAGTGGCGAGCCCGAATCCGGGTGCCCCGAAAAAGCACCGGAGTGCTTTCCGACCATGAGCCCTGGAAAGAACGGCCGTAAACGGGGACTAAGGCTCAACTTGGATTGGTCCATACGCTGTTTTGTCCTTTCTCTCTCTCGCACTCATTGCTCAGATGCGGCACGTCGAAGGAGCACACTCGGCTTTGACAAGCCGCCGTTTTATCGTCAATCTCTCTCCCACTCATTGATCAGATGCGGCAACCCGCGGCTCGTCAAAGGGACACACACACATTCGCATACAGGCTGGGCCTCGTAATTTGGTCCGCGGTGGTAGTGGCGAGCCCGAATCCGGGTGCCCCGAAAAAGCACCGGAGTGCTTTCCGACCATGAGCCCTGGAAAGAACGGCCGTAAACGGGGACTAAGGCTCAACTTGGCATGGTCCATACGCTGTTTTGTCCTTTCTCTCTCTCGCACTCATTGCTCAAATGCGGCACGTCAAAGGATCACACTCGGCTTTGACAAGCCGCCGTTTTATCTCCTATCTCTCTCCCACTCATTGATCAGATGCGGCAACCCGCGGCTCGTCAAAGGGACACACACACACTCGCAAAAACACAGGCTGGGCCTCGTAATTTGGTCCGCGGTGGTAGTGGCGAGCCCGAATCCGGGTGCCCCGAAAAAACACCGGAGTGCTTTCCGACCATGAGCCCTGGAAAGATCGGCCGTAAACGGGGACTAAGGCTCAACTTGGATTGGTCCATACGCTGTTTTGTCCTTTCTCTCTCTCGCACTCATTGCTCCGATGCGGTACGTCAAAGGAGCACACTCGGCTTTGAAAAGCCGCCGTTTTATCGTCTATCTCTCTCCCACTCATTGATCAGATGCGGCAACCCGCGGCTCGTCAAAGGGACATACACACACTCGCAAAAATACAGGCTGGGACTCGTAATTTGGTCCGCGGTGGTAGTGGCGAGCCCGAATCCGGGAGCCCCGAAAAAGCAACGGAGTGCTTTCCGACCATGAGCCGTCGAAAGAACGGCCGTAAACGGGGACTAAGGCTCAACTTGGATTGGTCCATACGCTGTTTTGTCCTTTCTCTCTCTCGCACTCATTGCTCAGATGCGGCACGTCGAAGGAGCACAATCGGCTTTGACAAGCCGCCGTTTTATCGTCTATCTCTCTCCCACTCATTGATCAGATGCGGCAACCCGCGGCTCGTCAAAGGGACACACACACACTCGCAAAAATACAGGCTGGGCCTCGTAATTTGGTCCGCGGTGGTAGTGGCGAGCCCGAATCCGGGTGCCCCGAAAAAGCACCGGAGTGCTTTCCGAGCATGAGCCCTGGAAAGAATGGCCGTAAACGGGGATTAAGGCTCAACTTGGATTGGTCCATACGCTGTTTTGTCCTTTTTCACTCTCGCACTCATTGCTCAGATGCGGCACGTCAAAGGAGCACACTCGGCTTTGACAAGCCGCCGTTTTATCGTCTATCTCTCTCCCACTCATTGATCAGATGCGGCAACCCGCGGGTCGTCAATGGGACACACACACACACTCGCAAACACGAAAACATTGTTAAATCGCCTTTCACCTTTATCACAGGAGGATGTAAGATGTGTATAACCTCAACCTTGCTTGCTGATAACAGCCATCTTGTTTGTTTATTTACGGCCCTCAGAGCATCGTGTCAGCCTATTCGCTCGCGAACAATGAAAAACCGGCACAGAAATGGCCATACTCTGTGTATAAAGGTACTCTAGGGATGCCGTTTTCAGTTTAAGAGTCCCCAAATAAAGTGGCACCCCTCTGTCAATGTACCTATTTGCTCCCAATTTTGCATGGAGAATTCGTCATGATGTTTAGAGGTGGACTCGTCTCAGGATAGCGTGGGATATCTCCTCCATTTTGGCCTCAACTTGAAAGCTTTTTTTGAGCTTGGGAGTTGATTTCAGAGAAAACCAGTGGCACCATTGTATTTCTTGTGAACTTTCACATAAGAATTAAGAGTGAAATCGCAAATTTTCACGCATGAAACATGTCCATTGCACGCATTTACATAACTGTAAATACGTTATTGGATCCCAACTGCTAATGCATTACAAGTATTCTAAAATCCAGGAATATTCAACTATCAATCGAAAGTAATAGATTCGTCCTTTAAAGTGCTAAAGATCCACCTGAACACAAATTTGAAAAGGTTTTTGTGATCTGCTGAATTTCTGCTATTCTAATAAAGGTAACTTGCTGTGAATTTTTAGTACCTTTGTGAGATGTGCATTAAGCCCCTATACCTACCCTAATTATTAACAGAATACTCAATTTTTTTAAAACATATTTGGCAAACTGAAAAAACCATCATCCCAAACTGTGTTCACTCCTCTTGCTGTACAAAATATCATTAAAAGATTTATGATAAAAGAGACTTTTATAATAATGAATATACTTTGATTTATACTTTTTTTTTTTGCGTAGATTTGTGAAAACCTGCTCTGATCAACTGGACTTCATTTTGCAATGAGGAACCACTATTCTTGGCTCTCCCGTAAAAACACATATCTGCATAGGGGAACCAATGGCATGTATGCTGTTTCTAAAATGGGCCAGAAATAGTGGTTCCTTATCGCAAAATGTACCTAATCCAACTCAGATTGTCAGTGTTTTCAAAATGAATATTTGTCTTCATTGGTGAAAGGTAAGTGATATAAATTAAAATGTGGTGGAAGTGATTTTAGAATTTATCTTTGTATTGTTGGCTGAGGAAACATCGAAGGAAATCTCTGCCGGGAATATTTTTAATGTGCGTCAATTCAAAATTACCGCGGTTTGTATCAAAGAGAGCAGATGGCCTATCAGCGAGCGTGTTGATCGAATGCGTAGAAAATCAGCTGATCGGGGGTTCAAGGACGCAAGTGTGTATTTTTGTTTGGGTTATGTTGCACAGTGTTTATCATTATTTATCAAGAATTTGTGATTTTTTTAAAAGATTTCATAAGTGTTTATTCCACTGCATGGCAGAAATTCCGCTTCTGTCATGTTCAAGTCCTTCTTTACTCTCACTTTCCTCCATGGATTTTTCAGTTATAGGAATTTAATGCTGTAATTTGGTGGACGTGATCCTTTTTTTTTTTGACACGCTCTGTTAACTTAATTAAGGATGTGCATTTTTTTAATTCAAAAGTTTTTAATTTGAAGTACTTTCCACCTCACATCTCTCTAACAGGTAAGTAAACCATGAATATTGTCGAAACTGCTGCTAGAACTTTTTTTTCTGCTCCCTACTCTCATATACTTACCGTCCTAAAATTTACATGTATGACAGAAAACTTCCAGTTCTTTGTCATCAATTGGAATTGGGAGCACAATACAATTCTCAACATATGAGGGATAAGTTGGCAACTAAAATTTGAAAGTACTTCTCATCATGTTAATGGATTGTAAGCTGCCAAGTACAATTTTTCTGTGAGAAACAAAGAAATTCGCAAGAATACGAAACTCTAGAAGAGCAAACTTAGCATACCATGCCCCTTGCAGTAGCACTGAGTCTAGCTATTACTTAATTAACATGATGGCAAAGGTCTTTCGGAGCAGAATGAAAAAAAAGGAACATATTAGCCTCGCATTGGACAGTGACGGTTGGTTTTATTTAGGCCATCTGCGTCAGCGCAGTTATTACACACGTACTTCCAATTCTTGAATAGTTTATAATTTTTAAATTTGGTTCCTCTGGTTCAAATTAATAATTCAGCCGCTGATCTATCGAAAGAAGGTGTGCAATTATTTTCTGTATGTTGATACACAGCTATTAGTTTGACTTTGTTGAACTTACTTCTCTTGACAAATCCTAACTCATATCGAATTGTAATGCACATCTTTGACTCATCGCCACCATTGACGTACCTATTCAACCGCACAGTCCAGGTTGAGTAAGATTTCTTATCATGCAGTTTTGAGGTGTTTTTCACTGGAAACATATTCCAATACTTTCCTGTGCTTTTGTCATTTCAGAAAATGCTTTTTAGAATTTTGATGAAATTATTTTGTGGTAAGTGACGGATACTGCAGCAGAGATGTTTGAGAAGGACCCAAAACAGACTTTTCTAGAGCAAACAAAAGCAGCTCGAGCTGAGCGAGCTTTTGAAAAGAAGCGGGAGGAAGCTGCCGTCCGCATTCAAGCACACGTCAGAGGATGGTCTGCAAGGAACAGTTTCACAAAAACCATACTGTAAGTAGGACTGCCTTGACTGAACTCCAAACCCAATCTTAATAGGATTTTTTCCAATTTCCTTTTAATGAAGGTTTTAAAGACACTAAATTTCTCTCAAGAAATGACCCGCTAGATTGATTGGAGAGAGGCAAATGTACTTATCTGGTCTTTTGGAGACCATCTTGCAGAATTTGGTGGTCAGTCAACCAGTCAAATACTTAAAAGTGTCAATAAACTGATTGAAGGAAAAAAAAAAACAATGAGATTGTGGCCTGAAAACTGCAAGTAACAGGACGGCAGAAATGTGCTGGTGCTGAATCCACACTATTCTATAGACTAATCAAGATTGAAAATCCCAAAAATTAGCATTTATTTGAGTAGAAAAATGAACTCTAATGGGTACCAATGCTGAACTGAGGGCAAAGACTATTATGGGTCCACCAGTTGAGTCATCCCATCTTTTGTGGATCAACAAGCTGAATCTTCAATCGAGCAACCAGTTGATTCCTTTGTTGATCTGAGAATTAAAAAAAATCTATTGATATCTTATCTTTTGTAAAGCAAACTTACGTATTATTCCTCCTTGCATCATTATCATGAAGTTTTGTTTCGTATTTATCAGGGATGAATTTGATGAAAATGCTCCTGATATCCAAGATACTTGGAAGAAGCCATCTTTATCGCTGTATAGGGTCTTTTCAAGATTTCTTTCAGTTTGGAAGAAAGAGAGAGATAAACAACGTTTTGAAAAACTGTGCAAGTAAGTCTGTTTTGGCTTTTTCCTGCTTCTAATTGTACTAGATATGGGAAATTTAACGATTATTTGCAGCTCATGCTGTTGTAATAAACATCCATCCGTTTTGAAGAGTCATAGAAAAAAAAACTAAAATGTTTGGATCTATTGATGTACAGGAATTCTTGACATGCCTAGAATGTTGTACATTTGGATCACATTTTGCAACAAGAAACTACTAATTTCTGGCTCAGCAATAAAAGTGCATACCTGCACAGGAGAACTAATGTCACATATATTGTCCATGGAAAGAGCCAGAAATAGTAATTTCTTTTCCTTAGAAATTACAGGTTACATACTTAGTGGAGCCACCGCACTGTTTTCCCTTGATATCCAGTTATAAAATAACTGGATTAGCTGCGCCAATGCCAGGATGGATCTAGCATTTTCTCTAGCTTGAGTTTTAGTCCATTTGTGGCCCTTGTCACATTCTATTTACACAGTTTGAACAATATTTGCGGACGCAATTGAGAAGATTTTTTGTACAAGAGTGTAAGTCTGTTGTAATGTTTCAAACGTGCAAAGAACCGTTTATTCTTGTATGGATGAACATCTGGACAACCAAATTAATTCTCCTGGAAAAAACACAGAATTTTTTACCATTCACCAATTAATTCTACCAAAATTTTCGTGAGATTTTCTCAGTGATTTATTTCTACAAAATTGAACAGTCTGTGGCATTTTTGAAAGGTTTGACTCCAATCTAATACATTTTTCAGACAGATATTTTTCGTACTTGCATAATTCATTTGTATAAAAGTGGCATTTTTTAAGTATTCCCATAAACTTACGTTCTTTATGCAAAAAATTGATACAATCCTCAATTTGAAATTTTGACCCAGTGTTCTTGAGGGTATTTCTATCTTTTATTGACCAAAGAAGGAAAAAAATTGATAATTTTGACTCTGATTGTGATTCAGTTACTTAAGCTCAAAAAAATGTGAACATTAACCTTAAATTTGTTTTCTCAAACTCTGTCTCATGTAGTGTTTTCACTTTTTTTCAACAATGTTCAACTCATTTACATATCAACATCTATTATTTTATTTGTCACTCTATTCTAGATACTTGGTCGTAAGCCTGAAATCTGAGTCTGTCAAGTTCAGCTACATTGGCGTACCCATGAATAAAGAATATGCACTTTCATGGATTGACCAGATCAAGAAGATCCTCTCGATTTGCTGTACATATCTCGAGGAACTTCACCCAGAGTCCAGCGCCGATAAGAAAACTATCATTTGCTTCTTACACACCTTAGTAGCCTACACTTCTACAAATACCTGGGTGGCCCTGGCACATCCGAATTTTGAAAAATTAAGACCAGGCATGAACCAGTTGTGTGCTAATATTATGGGTCATCTTGTTTCTCATGGATTTTATACCACTTTAAAGGTGAGTCTAGATTCTCAACTCCGTAAATTGAATATGTGTGATCAAATTTCCTCTAGTGTAAACAGAGTGTCTGCAGGTCCGAAATTCCCGGAAAGTCCAGAAAGGTACTGATTTTTTAAGGGTAGCCCAGAAGTACCAAAAAAGTGCAGATATTCTGCAAATAGGTGTGGAATTTTTTTCATTTTTCGTCATTATTGTCGCAATTTGAGCCAGAGTTTCAAATTTTTGAAATTCTTCGAATTTCGTCAATTGGAGGCATTGAAAAAGCACTGAATTTTTCTGTTGAGACGGCATTGTATTTCTGAGGAATGTACTGAAAAATCACTGTAAAAGTACTGATTTTTGGCCAGCCTGTTTTGGTAGACACCCTGGTAAAGTGTGCAGTGTGAATGAACCGTCCTCTGAACGGAAACAGGAGATTTTAATTTTAATTTTCTTTAAGTGTGGATGCAAAGTTTAAAAAAAATAATAAATTTAAGGATGTCCCCAATTTTTCTTCTTTCCTCAGGGATTACCCTACTTTTCTTGTAGACACTGGGGGATTTTTCTAATGTCACATGACAGATATGCAACCAGGCTGTTTGCTGTGTCGGAAAGTCTCTGCACCTGTGTACTCACTATGTAATAAGAACTAGCACCTTTTAAGTTTTGAGATACCACAAAATGAGGTATACTGATTCTGATTAATGTTTTATGTTCCAGACACTTTTGATGAGAGGATTATCACGGTCAAAAGTAGTGCTGACCAATATCTCTTTATCCGCACTATTGACCCTCGCAACTCGACCACTATTTTCTTCGAACCTAAGCGATAATCTAGTTTCCATTTTCCTTGTACAAATTTTAAGTGTACCTGCTTTAGTTTCTCACATTAGAGATCTTGCTCCAGAGGTAAGTAATCAAGTTTTCAAATCCTGTTTCATAATTTTAAGATGTAAGAGACACTGAATTTATATTAAGCTTTCGCTACCCAAGGCTGTAGAAAACGTATAAATGTGGATCCCTTTTAAATATAGAACCCTCTGCAAAAAATCAGAGGCTTTGTATGTATTTTTCGAATTTCAGTAGCCAGCCTTGCTGGTGTAGTAGCTAAGGCAATTGGCTGCTTGCCCTGAGGTCTTAGGTTCAATCCTTAGTGGTGACAGGTTTTAAGAATGCTCAAAAATCCGTCACTGAAGCCATGGATCAGCAATATCCTTTTCTAAGCAGAAATATTCTCAGAAACCTCTGTTGAATATCTTTTGTGAATTTTTATCTCAGTTAAATGTTACTTTTTTATATTGAGAAGGCTTCTTTAAGCGTCCAGGTTTGATTGAAAATTTGCGTTAACAGTACTTACTCTTTTCTCCACAGTATCTGAACACATTGCAAAGTCATAGAACGCTCGAACGATGTCTGGAGTTTTTGAGCTCACCCCAAGAAATGCAAACTGTTTTTGATTCCTTGGAAGCAAGCTACGCACTGTGCTTGATAGGAAATTTAATTCATCTTGTGTATTTGTACAAAAGTTCACTTTCGGGGTCCAATCTGTATCCAGCTTTCACAGTAAGTTTTTCAGTTTTTTATTTTATCAATAACAAATGATAACAGGAACAATGATTTTTTCTCCAATCAATAATGGTCTGCTAGACAAGGTTTGACTTGAAACACCGCATTACTCCTTTTGTATTCAAATTAAATTTTACCTGAAAGAGGATTCACGGAACATATAGTTTGAAAATACCGTTCAGATGTATTGAAAACACTGATTAAGTCAATTACAGATCCCACAACTGATATAGTGTATGTTTATGTTCTTGTTTATTTATTTTGCTAGAATTCTCAATGCAAAGCAAGCAACACTAGTTTTTTTAACAACTTGAATTAATTAATTTTCTTATCCATGGCTTGTCTTTCTTTATGCCCTTTGCTTGTTTAAAAACAAATTCATGGCTCTTACCAAACTCCTACTTGTTAGATTCAGTAATGATTTTAATCAAAACACAAATTTACAGGTGGTCATCAACAATCTTCTTCAAAACTGCAAAAACTATGTAGTGTCGAAGCAGTCCAATTTGACTCACTGGCATCCCATCCTCGGGTGGTTTTCACAACCGATTGATCCAAGCTTGCGGGAAGCAATGCCGCATGTCAGGGCTCAACTATTTCTGCTCTGGTCACAGCCATTAATCTCTGCTCTTTTGGGAGTTGCACTCAGAGAGGCTCTTGAAGTTGGTGAAGTTGCTGTTGAGTTACCTCCGCCTCCGCCCTCCTCGAATATTATCATGTAAGATTATTATTCATGTCCTACATGTAATCATACGTTAATGGATGTTCTAACATCGGTTCTTCTGTCAAGTACATGAATATGTAACAGTTCAACCGGGTGTTCTTGCCAAGGGGATTTTCGGTGTCGAGAAGTTGACGGTGAGAATTATGCAGCATAAAACAAACTCTGAAAACCCTTAAATCAAGAAAAATTTCTGGCATGTGAAATGCAATAGGACTTATTACAATATCTGTAAGAATAGAGGGCAGCCTTAGCTCGGGAATATTTGTGAAATCTCACTCCATAGTCACTGAAGACCATACTTCAATGAGTATAGAATAAAGTTCTTTAAATTAATTTCTTAGATTCCTCAATTGAAGCGCTTATTTTGAAAAGAATTCGAGTCCAATTTTTTTCAAATTTGAGTTTTTATAATGGTGTCTACTACCAGGAAAATGGGATTCATTAGGGAATGGAAACTTTCAGGAAACTCAGGAGAATCATATTGGTAGGTCCTCTCAAGACAATTCTGGAGAGGTGGGAAGAAACTTTGATTTCTCATCAGGGAATAAGCTCCTGAAAATCAGGGGATTAGCATAGTCAACAGTTGTACAGCATGTAGGAGAGAGATGAGAGGGCAAAAATGAAGCGAGAATCCCTCTTCGCTGTCTCAAAGGAGAGCTAAAATTCTAATCAGCCATCTTCGAGTCACCTCAGATTTTTTTAGAATTGGTACCTTTTTGAAATCATCGCTTCAACTTTTATTCTGAGAGCTGTGAAGACCATTCCGTGCTATTACATAAATACCATTGTATGTTCAAGCATCTCATGAAAATTTCTCTACACACAAGTGCAAATGAACAATAATCATACCCTCTTTTACTTTAATTTGCCGTTGGTATTAACGTATTATTTCCTTGTGCATTACAGAAGAGCCTTGGAATCCAAGCGAAACAGTAATGGAAAAAACTACAAAAACAAGCTCGGAAACCCAGAAGTTGTCAAAGTCGCTCAAATATCATCCTTGTATTACACAACGATAACGACCTTGACTCAGCTAAAACTGGACATTTTATCAGGTACATTTTCCAATCATGTCTTATTTATATTATTCAAGTAGGTTAATGAACCACTAATACGTAAATATCAAATGTGTTTCGACCTGAAATTTCTTATTTTGAAGTTTTATGTGGCAATGATCATTGTCAGTTTCTAATAAAATTGTATTATTTCTGGTTACTTGGCAGGTCTCTGCTATCAAGACAATGTTCTTCATTTAATGTGGAAGTTTCTTGTTTCGTTGGGTCCAAACTGTGGCTTAAAGAATTTTCTTGAGCTGTTAGCAATGAATTCAAAATGCACCGCTCCAGAATTCGGCTTTCTTATCCTATTTTGTGAGTGCATGTCGCACTATGTTACGTAAGTATCATCAAACTATACTTTTCATTCAAAGATATTCATTTATTTTCTTAATTTTTTTTTCATTCATTAAACTAATAGAGAATAAAAAAAAACTACCATTGAACCAAGAGTACAAAAAAATATTACAATAAAATACAAAAGTGATTATAGAGGAGATAAAGTAGAAAATGATCATTGAAAAATCAATTTTTTTTTTTGGTTGGTGGAAAATGTGAAAGAAGAAGTCTGTTTCTAATGACATTTTAAAACTTACCTATCAAGAAGAAAATTGGTTAAACATTCTAGATGACCATTTCGCGCAGCAGTATACTGTACTTTAAACTCAGAATAAGAATATTTGGAAATATTTCCTCCTTATTTTTCTCATTTTTAAGGAAGTTTGGATCTTTACATCATTTTATTTTATTTTTTTTTCTTTTAGTTTTTAGGAATATTTAAAACTGTTTGAAAGAGCAAATGGAAAATGAAGAAAAATTTATACACTATTTGAGACTTTGAACATTTTCCATGAATTAAAATTTGTTTACCTACTTAATAAGGTTAATATCCAATTTCAGTTGTTCGATTCTATGTTTGCTAGGAAAAAATGTTTACATTCACTATGACATCCAATAAAATAGCAAATGTAGGGTTCTAAAAAAGATTTCAATACATTAGTTTATTCAATTCTGTGTGTAATACTTTCAATTTTTACTTGACTATTTTTCACTTGAATACCTATTTAGATCATCTGTACTCATCAATTAAATTCAATATTTTTTCCAGCATATTAGATGATGTCGAAATGTATGAGCATCAGCAACCTTTTACTCTAGTCGATTTAACATTCCTCTCCAGTTTCCTTAACTTGTTTCTCTTCAAAGTGATTTCAAACAATTTCTTCGGTGAGTCAATTTTACCTATCCATCTAAACATGTCACTTGAGTGAAAATGATCAACTGTCTGTTCTTTAAGTCTTTGCCTTTTGTATCAATCAATTTTATACCTATCCTAATGAATCAAACAGATATTAGTTGATTTTCATTCATTTCATACCAGGAGTCTTGACCCAAATTATACCCGTTGATCCTGCAGGAGTGGGTATCTTGGTTTGCGACGTCGAAGACTTTCCATTATACTTTAATTTTCAAGAAGAAAAATACTAATAGTCATTTTTTGTAAACTTCCTTGAGTGTTCCTTAATGTGAGAAATATTCAGTGAAAATTTCAAGCAATAGCACTGGTTTCCTTGATAAAAAGTAATGTTAGCAGAGATTTTGAAGCTCTGCAAATGAGATACACATTCCTGCAGTTTCAAGGTAGATTAGAAAATTTAATAAAATTAAACGATCTCAGTAAATCTTTGAAAAATCCTTCACGCATTCTTTGAAAGGACAAATAGGTGAGTCTCTGGACGGAATGAGATGGAGGTTTCGCCTGTAGAGGGGGATTTTCAATTTGCGTATGTATTTCTCCGATGAATTTTGTGAATGATTCAATGATGCTATCTGTTTTGTCTAAAATCAACGCCTCAACTCAATTTAAGCTCTCAGAATTAAGGCTTCTATGGAGGAGCACTTTTGCTTCATAAGAAAATGTGCCTCTTCGTTCAGGCAAAAATTTTTTTGCAGAGATACATCATAAAATACATCAACAGGGTTCCCATGATTGTAGAGTAAAAATAAGCATTTTGACTGATGGATTCCTCACATAAAGTGACAACCTTACTGGTGTCTTCAACTTTATCTTTTTATGAAGCAGGGATCTTTACGATCTCAGGAGTTGGGTTTTTAGAAACTGAGACTTACCTCATTTCTCTTGTATCAATTAAAAATGAAATTGATTAAGTAGCCTCAGGAATGTGATGTTTTGGTTTTTTGCAGACACAAAAAATTTAAGCTTATCTGACGGGCTGTTCCACTCTTCACACAGCTTATTGATGATATTATACCGCCGGGACTGTCGCCGCAATTTCACACCGCCCTCGCATTGGTTGATTCGTGATCTGAAAGTTAGCGCTTTCATGAATGATTTAGACAAAAACAAAAAAACATCACAAGTAAGTCCAAGCCCATTAAAGCATTCCTTTTCCTTAAAGTGCCGCAGTAATATGCATTGGAGATAGATTCATGCTATGTATGATTTACAAGAGATGAGTATGAGTCGTGGGCTCACTTTTTTTGCCATTAACAACTTTAATTTTTAAGAATAGTTGCAGCCATTTTACCAATTCATACTAATGTTCCGATCATTAGAAAAGAACGATAAACTAACGCTAATCTCAGCCATTTTTCGATCAATAGTCGTGAATGGGTAGCTGAATAATCAATAGTTTGTAATTAGCATAGTTTCAGGCTAACAATAAAATCCAAAAGCTCTGAGAGAAAATCAGAAAGAAGCAAATTATTTGTAAAAAATACATATACTACGCCTTCAATGACACGAATAAATCTATTTTATGAGTGTAGGAACTATTGTCAAAGTATCAGCAATTGAAAAGGAATTTTAACTTTAAACCTCTTTTTCCCCTCCACAGATTTTACTCAAATACCTTCCACACATTTTACCTCACTCTGAAAGGGTCCAATTGTTTCGTAAATATGTTGCGAATGAGAAGAGTCATCTAGGTATTTCTGATTCAGCCTATGTTTCAACTTTGATAACAGTTCATAGGTACGTATTGTCCTTTTTTAAATGTTTTATTTTATCTTGTCGGTAACAGTTAAATCCCTCTTATAATTATTCATAAAGTTTTTTTATGTGGAAGCTCAAAGCTTTCCCCAAGGAAAAAAATTGTCCCCTCTAAAATAGGGAAAATCCTCCTATGTTCAGCGAGTCAAGTAATCAGAAATAAGACATCAAATCCTAATATGATCAATTATCTATCGCAAAACTAAGAAAATGTGCATCTCAGATCGGAGTTTTACAGGTTTCTTGCCGTGTCATATATTTCCAAAGGCAACAAGTCTTATTTATTGTCTAGTATTCCCTCAAATTTTCGTTGCTCTGCCAAAAATACACTCTCAAAAAATGTTTCGCAAAAATATTAAGTAATTCTCTCTGTTGGAAATATAGAGTATGAGCAGAAATCCTGAGACAGCACTGTTGTTGAAATGTATGAGAATGTAACAGAGTCAACGGAGAATGTTTGATTAGTGACCAATCATTATTTTATTATGGAAAATTGCTGATTGGCCTTATTTTTCTTATTTTACAAAAAATGTTTTTTTTTATTCCAGAAATCGAATGGTAGAGGATGGGTACCGACAATTGGCACTTCTTCCTCCTCAGTCATTGAAAGGTGTGATACGGGTTCGATTCATCAATGAACAGAGTTTAAGTGAAGCCGGGGTTGATCGTGATGGAGTCTTCAAAGGTTTGTCAGTATCAAAAATTTGAAAAATAGTCCCCTGTAGAGATGATCACAAAAAATTGTAAGCATTTTTTAGGAGATATTTCAAATGATCGAATAGGACCTGATTGAAAATGAAGAAGCATCTTTTTAGGAGGCGAAAATCAATCAGGGAGACTTTTTTAACCAAGCTTTCTTTAGTGCCCTCTGCTTTAATTTTCCTCTCTCTTGGATCCCCTCCATGTGCTGTTTTCTTTTTTTTTGTGAAAAAAAAGGAAAAAATCAAAGTAAGTTTGATGGTAATTGGTGCAATACTTCTCATATACTATGTATATTCTCAGATTTAATTTTGTCTTAAGTATGGGTGAACCAGAACAGAAAATTAATGATAAGTGAATATGAAGATGTAGCAATGGGCCTGTTGCAAACTTTTGCTAGAGCAAAAATAAGAGTTGTTTCTTATAGATAATGCCTCAAAAATCACGATGAGCGCATCGGCAAAGTCTGAAATGCACTCATAACTTCACAATCTGCGTAAGAAATTTGCGTTTTTTTAAGCTTCCCGCTTCAAAAACGATACTACGGCACAGGTGAACATTTTGTTAGAGGAGTCGCTCCATCGTCGGCGATATTCATCATGGCCGACGCTTGCGCGCAGTTCCGCGCGTAATTCGAGGAGAGTTCAAGGTCAATCAATTCGGGCGTGGAAAACATGAACGTTAAAACACGCCGATTGTTATCTGGTCTAATCCAGTTCAGGTATTATCTCGTCCCATCACACGTGTTTTGGCGGATTGGCGTCGGCCATGATGAGTATTGCCGACGATGGAACGACTCCTTTTACAAAATGTTCACCTGTGCCGTAGTATCGCTTTTGAAGCGGGAAGCTCAAAAAACCGCAAATTTCTTACGCAGACTGTGAAGTTATGAGTGCATTTCAGACTTTGCCGATGCGCTCGTCGTGATTTTTGAGGCATTATCTAGAAGAAACAACTCTTATTTTTGCTCTAGCAAAAGTTTGCAACAGGCCCATAGGAGTTTAAAACGAATATAAAAGTATCAGAGACATCATAAAAAATGCTGAAGACAAAGAAACATCAATTGAATTCATCTTTCCCGAACAAAAACATATAAAATCATCGTAAGTAGGTATCCAATCCATTAAAATTCAATCTGCCAATAATGGAGATATTGATTTTTAGTCATAGTTAAGTAATGTACTTTAATGCACTTCAGTGTTCTGATCATCAGCAATAGTTTGCTGTACTCTTGTTATGAGCATTTAAGATAAATATGATTCTTTTATGTTTTAGAATTCTTGGAAGAAACAATAAAGCGAGTGTTTGACCCATCACTTAATCTATTCCGAGCAACAGCTGAAGAGCGACTTTATCCATCGCCCACATCCTCACTACAAGACAATCATTTGCAGTTATTTGAATTTGTTGGGCGAATGCTTGCCAAAGCAGTCTATGAGGTATATTTTTGTTTTCTCTGTTTTTTATGCACAATTACTGTAAACGTGTTACCACCAGTGAATTATATTGTCCTATTTTCTGCTTCCTTGATGATGAGGTTAAAAAATTCATGAAGATTTAAAAGAAAGATATCAATTAAGATCTCAAAGAAACCCCAAGTGATCTCCATTTATGAAGCTAAAATTTCACACTTACAAAGAAAAACAAAACCCTCTAAAATTAAAAATGGCCAAACTAAAAGCCATGGTAGTTACCTGGTGAGGATGAATGAGATTGGAACAGACTATCGCAATCTTGATGGTTTTTGTTGTGTTTCATGCATGTTAATGGGCATAGTTTACAAGGAAGGATACAGAAAATCAGGAATCTCAGAATCTAGAATCTTCTTAAAATTTCGGAAAGCACAATCGTTTTTTGAACATTACATTAATCCTCCAAACTTTTTTGAGAGTCGCAACAAAATCAGAAAAGTCGGATTTCTCCTCAGTTCTTCATTTCGGAAAAATTCCAAATTTTTTCATATTCTTAACTTTTTGTCCGGAATTCTTTCAAGTATTAAAATATATTTAATTTCTTTGAAAAAAAAAGAAAGAGACCCAAGTCCTTCTTCCAAAGTTGCAGTGTGTTGAAAAGAATCCCCTTTTTCAGCCTGTGGGTACTTCTCATCAGTTGGAAAAAAATCTCCGACGGGGAAAATTCTGACCTGATTTTTCCACCTTCTCTTTTTCGCAGGGTATTGTTGTAGATGTCCCGTTCGCCTCTTTCTTCCTGAGTCAAGTTCTTGGTCAGACGCAACAGGCATTGTACTCTTTCATGGACGAGCTGCCATCACTCGACAAGGAGCTCTACCGCAGTTTGACCTACATCAAACACTACAAAGGAGACGTTTCAGAATTAGACCTTACGTTCATTGCCGATGAAGACTGTCTAGGGAAGGTCATGACTCACGAGCTGGTACCTGGTGGTAGGGCTGTCGCGGTGACCAATCAGAACAAGATCAACTACATCCACCTCATGGCTCACTTTCGTATGCACACACAGATCCGAGAGCAAACGGCTGCGTTTATTCGAGGATTCCGCAGCATTATCAATCCAGAATGGCTGTCAATTTTCTCAACACCCGAAGTGAGTTGCCACATCAATTTTATACTTGATGTCTTGCTACTAAGCAATTGCAATGGTGTTGTTTACTCATATCAAACTTTCTTTAAAATTCATTTTTAACAAGCTCCAAATAAATAGAGAGACTTATTTCATCTTTCAAATTATAACTAAGAAAGCTACTTTAAAAAGTTACTAAAATTCAGGGCTCCTGGCCGTCTGGAAAACCTTGAAAGTCAAGGAAAACAGGGAGTTCATAAGGAAAATCAGGGACTCTTGCCAGCAGCGTTTAACGTAAGTCATATAAATAAAAAGAAAAAAAATCTATGTGGAATTTTATCTGAAGGTCAGGGAAAGTCAGGAAATTAAAAAATTTTAGAGTCAGAGGAAAGCAAAAGGAATCAGAAAATGAAAAAGCTATGGAAACCCTGAAACTCTGACCGCATTCCGAATAGAAAACTATCACTGCAACAAATTCAATGATGTCATATGCAAGATGACCCTCTTTTTTTCATTTTGAATTGATTTTGTCCCAAAATATACCGATTTAAGGTCATCTAGAACTGCCTAAATGCAGTTTTCAATTTTTATGGCTTGTTCCCAGCATTCATCTACAGCCCAATTAACAAGCATTCAATGAATTTTCACAATGTTTCTTTCAATTTATACCTGTCAATAATTGTTTACTCATAGGATATGATCTTTTTCACTTTTGTGTCTCATCTCCGAAGCCAAAGAATTTTTTATCGATCAACTTAAACATTTTCAGGTTCAGAGGTTGATCTCTGGGGATAATGTGCCTCTAGATCTTAACGATCTAAGACGCCATACGCAGTACTCAGGCGGCTTCCACGACTCACATCGAGTTATTCAGTGGTTATGGGATATCTTGAACAAGGACTTTAATGAAGAAGAACGTAAGCTCTTCCTGAAGTTTGTCACTTCCTGTTCAAAGCCTCCACTCCTTGGTTTTGCACACCTTGAGCCACCTTTCTCGATCCGCTGCATGGAAGTTCGAGATGACGAAGACACAGGTATTTTTTACGTCAACGAAATTTTGTAGAATGAGTCATTCCACAAAACATTGTTTCATGTTGAGACTTCCTCATAAATCAATGTCCCTTTTCTCTATGTTAATATGGACGTATTTCTGTTAAACGGAACTTAGCACCAAATTGAGTTCCTTTTGAGGATTTTAGAATCCTGGATTGCGCGTTCTGTCAAACGGAACTAAGCGCCATGGAAAATTATTGCGATAATAGGACGGAACAAGCATCGCGTTCCGCAACACCCGCCAATCCAAGCCCCCCTCTCCCTTCCTCCCCCTAAGGCGCTTAGTTTCGTTTGATAGAAATACGTCCATCTGTTAACTGCCCTGGATTTACACATGAATTGCAGAACTTTGTATGAAAAATATGCACATAGACAGTTGACTACGGCTACAATGATGTACTTACTGGGACAGCCTGCAGATCACAAAAATTGAGAACTTCAAAACATGCTGATCGTAATTGCTGGTCAGTACTAGCCAACATGGCAATCAATGTTTTAAACAAGAACTTGGTTAATCCATTCTAGAACTCATCATATTTTTCTTTAAGGCTCTGTTTAATCAAAAGTAGAGAATCTTTATCGGTTTTTCAGAATGACTGTACCATATCACCTGGAAAGTATGTTTTAAATGAGAAGCAGGAATCAGGTTTTTTCATAGAATTCTTAGAAGGATAATTTCTTCCAAAAAAAATAAAGAAAGAAATTGAAACAAGGTCGCAGCGTCCTTCAGTTTGTGAGGGCAATTATGGAATTTCATCCGTACCTAGGTCATTCATGCCCAAGTAAATAAATGATAAAAAAAAGACAAATTATTTTGATGTAAAAGTAAGTAATTTCTTTTGTTGGAAGTGACAGTTTCTTTCAAAGAGGCTTGCTCCTAAAAATAAATGTTTTGAACGTACACAGAAGAAGATACCTCTGTGCACAGGAGCAAGTTACATGAACATATTTTCTTAAGGTAGGTTAAAAATTGGAACTCGAGCTTTTAAAAGAAAAACTCCGGAGTATACCAAAGAATAAGTTGCTAGTCATTTAGTGAAAGTTCGCAATTTTTAGTTCGCAAATTTAGGCATTATGTAGTATTTAAATCATCCGGTATTAAGCTCTGAAAATGCAAAATTAGAATTTTAAACAGGTCCCTCTGTAAACCATGGTTTTTAGCTGCAACTTCTACTGTTGTCCTAGTTTAATTGGAAGTTTTTGGAATTTTAATTTAATAAAATGTACATAAACTTCTCTAAATAGTGGCACCAATAGCTGGATTTTAAGTTCCTTGACACCAAGGTTCCTTTTTTTGTGAACAATCACAAATTTTTATCACAATTTATGATCTAAAAAATTATTTCTGTTACAGGTGACACGATTGGCAGTATCATCCGAGGTTTTTTCACCATCAGGAAAAAAGATCTTCAACATAGGCTTCCCACCTCTGCAACTTGTTTCAATCTCTTGAAGTTGCCAATCTATCAGCGAAAAAGCACTTTGCGAGAAAAGCTCCGTTATGCCATCACTAGTAACACAGGGTTTGAACTATCGTAAGGTAGGATAGACTGTCTTTTTTGCAAGAAAATTGATTTTGACAAAAGGTTCATCTAACAATATCAGAAATACCCCATTATACCCCGAAATAAATTTATAAGAATCTTAGTTTTCTCAAAGGAATTAAAGGAACTTTGGTAAGTCAGTCACTCTTATGAAATTAATGACGAATGTGTCATGTATGTCCGAACAAATGATTGTTGAACACAAACCTCAACTCTGCTTTTATCTTTGTTCGTACTTAGCGTTCTTCTCTTGTGCATTCCAGTGAGAGGTCATGAGTCATTCTCTTCTTCTATTTATAATGTATCAAGTTGTCTGATTATTTTCACAAGTGTGAAAATGCTTAATACTGCAAACACAGAGCATGACCTCTGATTTAAGGAAGTACTTAAAAATTATTAACATTGTTTGTAGGAATTTTGGGCCAAAATTCTAAGAAAAAGTAGTGAGTTGGGTGAAAGTTCCAAGAAAAAGTAGGGAGTTGGGTAAAAATTCGCAGGAAATCTTGGGCATTGACTTCAAAAATAATTTGCTGAATCATAGCTTGTAGCCAAGATCTTGGACCTTTCTACAATCCTTGTTATTAAATTGCTTAGTTTTGAAGTTTTTAAGCCCTCTACAATAAGATATTCATCCAGCACTCCTTTTAGCAGTGGTACTAAAACCCCAATTTTAAATTTTATGGTTTTAAGGTCTCTTTTCCCATGCACATCACATATCTTGCCCAGATAATCGCTTTAATTTTACACAGGAAGATTTTTAATTAATCCATAATGTTTAAAAAATGTATAATCTGCGACTCTCAACCGTACAGTGAGATTCATTCAAAATTTGAGTACTTTACTCCGCCTTATTTTAGACATATAAGGCCACTTTATAAGAGTACAAAATTTGAAAATATTTTCTGATCTTTCGACTTGCCTGTGCAAGCTCAGATGGTCAACTACTTGTAACAAATTGATGTTTTCTCTGTGATTCGGTGCTAGGGTTATCATGATTTTTTGTTTGTTTTAGTCGTAGTTAAGTGTCAAAAAGTTGTAGAATTATGTACTAAAATTTTTGTATCATCTGCCAAAACAGTGCCTCTTCAAAATCAATCTTACAATAATCTGTCTTTGAAATTCATTCAAAACTTTAAGTTTTACTTGCTCCTGAGAAATTGAAAACCCCCCTCATCTGTACCACGTCATCTCCCAGACGGAGGAAGGTAACTCCATTTCAAGGTTGTAAAATGAACAAAAGTAGTTCATTTCAGGAGAAATGTAAGAGAATTTTTCAGTCAGAAATGCCTTATAGTTTTCCAGTGAAAATATACATTGTGATTGGAAACTTAGCAACATTGAAATGCACTCATGTTCTTTTGTCTGGAGGATGATGAATAGTGCAATCTTTCAAACTTAAGTTATGAACATTCCAAAACTCCATGCATAGAATCAGGTGCTTGTTATAATTTCTTTTTCTGCAGTAGTATTGAATTTTGCTTTATTACTAAAGCCTTTTATGTTTCAAAGAAACAATTTGTGTGAAGAAATACTCAACAAAAACGCACTGTGATATCAGCACTTTTTGGTTTTCTGTCATTAGTGGAAAATTTTGAATACTTTTCCATATTTCCCACTATTCCTATTTTACTAAAGACAAGGCTTATAACATTCCTGATATGGAGGGACCGAAAATAGTTAAGCTCAATTTTGAGTGAAAGAAGAAGGATCTAAGTCATCATTGTCTCCCGCACAAAGAAATGTATCTTGATTGTGCAGTTCTAATATTTCCTACAAATGTTTCATTTTTTCACAGGAAAACTGTCTTATGAACTGTCTAAAATTTTTAGTGACTTTTCCTTCCACTTGTCTGACGAATTCTAAAATTTTCAGAAGAATTTTTTCGTCAGTCCTCCGATGAAAAAATAATGTTTGCAGAATTACTGAAACTGCGCAATTGAGATTTGTTTCTTCATGCGGGAGAGGAAGTGATATGAACTTTTTCAAATGTGTAGTTTCTCAGGGGGAATGTATCCATATATGATGTTCTTACAAAGGATTTTCAAAAACCAACGCATGTCTTTTGTAGTGCCTTGGTACTAACATGTTCTTTCAAAACTACCCTCGTGGGTAGATTTGGTCTGCTAAATTATGCCCAAAGTCTAAGAACAAAGTTTAGTCCAATTTTTTTATTTTTGGACCGTTCTCTCGCAGAAAAGATGAGCTAGCACATAAAACAGCACTACTTACTTCACTATTTTTAAACCTGACTGTTCAAAATTGGGTATCATGACAGTAAGTAAATTGTAGCTGTGTTTTTTCCCCTCAGACTTTTCTCACCAAAGTAAAATCAAATGATGGCCATTATTTTCATTTCTTTGATTCTTTACGACTAAGTCCTGGTCCTCAAAGAGTTTTGAGAATCATAGTAACAACGATTTTAATTTTACTTTTTTTTCATAATTTAACTGCATGAGTCTGTTGTAGAACAGATATCCATCACTTCATTTGACTTTTCAATGTAATTTATTTTCAATTATTTTTGAATCCTTGTGGCTATCTATCGATTTTTGAAGAATGTATTTGCTAATAAAATTTACTCTTATTGATTTTCTATTAGATTTAGGGAAGAGAGAAAACGTAGGATAAAGTCATTTTTTCCTCTCTTGATAAAATCTATTCGTAAAGTGTAGCTGTTTTTTATACTTAAGGTATTCAAGAGATGATTGGTCAAAGGTTAAGCCCCTTTGCGTCATTTAATTTTGAAAATCAGGTGTCTAAATGTATGATGCAATAATCATTCTCTTTCTGTCTTAGGAGTTAGCCAAAGATAAGTTAAGCTCTTATTTTTTTTCATTTGGAAGTTTCAAAGTAATTAGTCATTTCAAACCTGTTCTCAAATGAGTATCACCAATAAAGCAACGAATTGATCCACGAGGCATTCAACCACCAGGTGCTCCATGGATCATTCTCAGGTGGTCTGCATTTGCCTGTCAGAAATTACTCTGAAAATAGGAAAAAATACGTAACAAACAAAAACGTATAGCTTTATAGAGGGATTTTCGGAAATTTTTCTTTGTCTTTAATATTAAATTATTTTAAATAATCAAACTGAAAAAGGAAGTTCTTCAATTTTCATACGTGGTCTGCATTTTCTTCCTTTGGTAAAAAAGTGGACTGCGGCCAAAGAAGTTATTGAACTGTTGCAATCTATTGTGTCAATCTCAGGGTAAGACTGGTTTTCCTCTCTAAAATGTGGAAGCTGTTTTGTATGAAGAGAGGAATCTATGCGATTTTGAAATTGCAACTTTCAGATGATCTTAAAAAAGAAAAAGAAAAGAATTGTAAAATAAAAACTTAACATTTAAGTTAAGTTGTCCTTTCCTAATCCTTGAATGTACTCCTATATTTTTGTTTGTATCTGCGTTTTGTAATTTTTCTAAGAATTTTTAGACTATTTTTACGGAAGGAGTCCATCAATAATAATTTTGAACTGAGAAATGAAATTTAGTGATTTTTTATCTGTAAATGTTGAAACTTTTCTGAAGGGAGGTCACAATGACCGTATCAGTACACGTAAGGTCCACTCTTATTGTTATTTCTTTTATACACATATTTAAATTATGTACTTGCATGAATGTATTTTACATTGTTTCCCTGTAACAATTTTTATTTAGTCCTTCGATGTTTATTAAAAACCTAACTGTCGTACAATATTCATGTTTTCTGATTTTCCCATAAAAACATCATTCTACAGAGTGATCTAAATGGAATGGTGGAAACTTTAAGGATTAAGATTGTTTTGTACTCTATGACATATTTTTGTTTAAACCATTTTAATACATTATGGGGAACCCCCATAAATCTTCCTTCCCCCTCCATGTATCAAGTTTTTATAATTTTTGTCAACAAGAGTGAAACGCATGAAAATATTACTTGGCCCCATATGTCAAGTAATTTTGTTGAAGATTGTGGCTACAATTTAAAAAAAAATCATTTTTTACAGAAACTTTGAAGCGCTATAGCCATATTCCCTCCCCCCCTTAAAATGGTTCGAATAACAACAATTTCATAGAGCAAAATATTCTTATCTTAGACGGGAAGAAACTCTAAAGAACAGCCATTCAATTTGGGGCCCCTTGTGTCAAAAACTTTTCTACCATTATTTGGATGAAGTAAACAGAGAGGAGCAACAAGCATTAAGTTGCCTACCTTGTCTAACTCTTTTAAGTAAAGCAGCAGAGATTGAAGCTCGAATTTACCGAATGAATATGTAAACCATGTATGGATGAAAAGAAGGATATCTAAACAATTTAGTTCTGCAACTGCAAAAAAATGGTTTTCAAAAAATTTCATTGTAATGATATGGTAAGGCAAAGCTTACACTTGCGGGTTTTTTTACGCCAGATGTATTTTTAAGTCTTGTAATAAAAAGAGTATGTGCTCACTCCTATACTTAATTCCAGCATGTACAAGAATCAAGCCATACTATCTTAAAATTATTTCAATATAGTTAATCAACTTTTGGACCTTTTTTCATAGTATATCAATTCGCGAACCAATTTATTGCAAATTTTTGTACAATTTTAATGGTAGAGATGAATTTTTTTAATAACACTCAAACGTGATCTTCATGAGCAATCTTCCTTTACATTATTATAGAGAAACTAACTACTTTTATCCTGTGAAATTTTCACAGAATATTATTTTTAAGAAGGAAGGAAAATTAAAGGGCATTTCAAGCAGAGAATGCCCGGCATATTTCTCTGAAAAATTAGATACTTATTCTAGGAAATTCTGCAGCCTAAAATTAGTGGATTCTGTAGATATCTTTGAAGTAACTTTGAAACTACATAAATTAACATACAGAAAGAATCCTTTTATCAGGTATTCTAGCTTCATTCTTCTATTTCTCTACATACTTAATGTTTATTACGAGATGACTTTTCATTAGCCAAAGTGCGAAACCAAGTATCTCCGTTTGCAACGTTGCAGACTTCCTGTCATTCTCTATTTGGCAGCAGCCACATCCCTTTTTCAACTTTTTAGGGGGAATTTTTAAGGATTGGGTGGAGATGGCTACCGCCACCTAGAAATTTGTTTTTGGAAAAATAATCAACTTAGTGTCTTGAAAACTTACGTGATTTTTCTTCTCTGTTTGCAGAATATCTCGTAGAAATTTCAAGCCATCTGGTTCACTTGTTTCTCTCCGAAAAAGTAAAATAGGCGCAGAAATTTTGTCACACAGTACGTGGTTTCGCACTTTAACCATCGTTTTAATGAACGATACAGAGATGCCCGCTAATTCGAACTTCGCGCCATGAAGGCGGTGGGAGGAGCAAAGAACGCAGTTTCCGGCATTCGCCACTTGGAGCGCTGAGTGCGTATCTAAGCTCGAAATCCTTTCGACTTTTGTTCGGGCTTCCATTGCCATTGCCAGTCCATAATTCTGATTTTTCAGTAGAAATTTTGGCGTGACGGGTTACGGTTGTGTGTCGCTCGCTTGGAATGATAAACTATCCCTATCACAGAACTGATTTGTGAAGAGACAAGCGTGCGGTTATAATCGAAGACAGCGTGGATTACTCAGTGGTTTTACGTGCTTGTTCGTTTCTTCCTGTGTTTGTGTCTGGAATCTGTATCATCGTGAGTCTTGTGGATCAATCTTTTGGAGCAAGCGGTGTGAACTGGAAAATCTGTCAAGAGCCAGATTTCCTCCACTCTAAGTAATTTGTAGCTAGTAATACAATACTCACCCCGACCCTTCCCTTATCAGCATCAAAAATCTTAGGTTATTTATTCCAGCTCTTATCAGCCCGAGAGTTAAGAATCTACTCGTGAGCTAAGCAGATCATGTTTTGCTCTAACCTATGTCAAGCACAATAGCTGAATCTAGGTCCTCTATCCTTCAGTTCTCCGAGCTCAGTTGTGGTGTTTTGGCCCAATTCCAGTGGGCCGTAGTTGTGTGAGCTTTGTCATGGCAGTTATTGGCCCCCGCAGGCACTCGAGAGTGTCCGTTTCAATGCCGCTAATGCAAGACGCTGGCACTGGTAGCCATCAAGCTCCAGCCCATGCCGCAGCTCAGTCCTTCTTCCACCCGCAACAGGCCCATCAGCCGCCTGCTTCAGCTACAAGAGCACAGGATATGCAACCAGATCGTCCAATCGGTTACGGAGCTTTCGGCGTTGTCTGGTGAGTAAGCTTCAAGTCCTCATTTGCATGTGGATGATGTACTCCTCTCAGTCCGAAAATACCGGAAGATGAGCAGTTGTCGTCGTTTTACTCAATAACCTTGCAATTACAGGTTTAAAAGCTCTCATATAATCTTAAATCAAGAGAATCAGACTAACATCTCTTCGAATGGGCAATCCCACTCTTGATTTCGAAGAAAGTCCTAACTGTCCATTTACCGCTCTAAAAAGTTGATAAAATTGTTGAGAACTGCCTATAGAATTCGTCCCTGAGTTAAGTAAGTCTTCTTTAATATTTATGTTAATTGCTATGCATGATGGATTTAAAGGGAAGGTAATAAGCTGAAGTAAGAAGGTCAATCAAGAAAGAAGAAATACGCAACAGCTTGCCAAGAATGTCAATAACCCTACATTCTCCTATACCTCTTTCATCTTCACCCTCTCTCCAGAATGATATTTACACGAATCCAAACAAAATTAAATGATCTTTGCTCAATTCAACACATTCTCCTCCTCTGTCTAAAGTTGAACCACCTGGAAATCCTTGTGTTTCCATAAATCCATTCAACAGTTACTAAATCCTAGCTATTGCACTTGTAACCTTTGTCCCAGCCATTAGCTTGAATACCAATGCTCTTTAGCTACAAAAAAGTCCACATGAAGAATGTAGTTATGATCTTTGTATGTCCCACCCATCTCATCTAAAAGGGCTGAAGAAGGCAACAAATAAGCCTCAAGTTAATTTGAGGACTGTGTAGAGCAGCAGGTTTTTAAAAATACTGCCAAGATTGTTAGAATGTCCTTGATGGTAATTATTAGTATCGCATTTTTTTTTTTTTTTTTTTTTTTTTTTTTTTTTTTTTTAATACGTACATAAGGCCTGAGCACTTTCAGGATAATAAAAGTACCTAAACATTTTGTTTTTACACAAGCAGCATTGCTTACAGGAGAGTCCTGCCAGTTTAAATATGATGATTACTGTAATTTTGTTTTGTAATAATAAAAGAAATAAATACATTTTAGGTAAAAATATTTCTACATAATCTACAACAAAACCAATTTTAAAAATGATTTTTAGCACTTATATATTTACTTCGAAAAAAAAAACCAAAAAAATCCCTTAAACTAGGTATAACAATTACTTTTTTCAACTACAGCCAAAAATATTTGTAAGTACAATTTTTACATTTTTTATGTCAAATTTTGGAAAATAATGTCGAATTTTGTTTAGACAGGTTAAGTACAACAACTTCACAAACTTCAAGTTTCCCAAATTTTAGAATTTTTATTAGATTTGCGGTGGGTCCAAAATACGATCTAGGAGGAGGGATGATGAAGGGGTCTGTGGTCAGTTTCCAGGCGGAACACTGACCGACCGCTGTATCCTGGAAGAGAGGCTATTTTCCTCGCAAATCCGGTAATTTAGCGATCTTACCTGCGCCTCACCTCACGATCAAAATCCAGGACACAATGATCTCTTCTTTTTTGCCAAAATCGGGAGGAACCCACGAAAAATATGCTTTTGTCCCAGTTGTGTCAACAAAGAGGCGGAGAGGATTGGAAGAGGGGGGAGGTGTCCCACTCTTTACATGTGAAAGGTTCAAAACCTGGAGGCCAAATTCGAGAAGAATGGAGCGCTCTTTGTGCAGGTTTCACCTCGGCGTTGTCAGTGCAGGTTTACCTGTATTTTTTGTGTTTTATTTATTTTTCCCCCTACCCCCCTCAGAACCTTACCTACGGAGTTTCCTCAAGAATGCGTCGCAACGAATTTCGTACCATTTTTGCAATCTTTGAACGTCACTTTTTCAATTTTGTCTTTGAGAATGTCTTCAAATTGCTCCCGAGACGGCGTTATTTTTGAAATTTTCACCCCGCCCTCTCACCACCGACCGCTCTAGATGGCCAGAGGGTCTGACGTCTCACGAAATTGACAATTTTCATCTTGTCTGTGTAGGTTAGGAACAAGGCAAACATTACAACTATTTCATTCTGTATCCAAGTCGGAAAATTTTCCCCTCAATTTTAGAGGCTACGACGAACCCGAACATATCTGCCTGCGATCCAGTGTTCGTGTTTTGAGAGCTCACACTTCACACTTCTAGGGCTGGCTAACATGTGGTCGAACTCTTAGTCTTCTGCCTCGCTAAGGAAGGACACTGTATCAACATTTTTTTGTGAATTTGTTTGAAAATTTCACTGAATTTTATCGGTAGCACGAAGAAAATTCAGTGACATTTTCGAATAACTTCGTTGAACAATTTCTCGGTAAAAACATGAAATTTGGCGGAAATTTTTGTACGTCGCATGGCGCTTGTGATACTTAAGCCGAAAGGTGACGATTTGTTGATACTTAAGAGTAAATTGCGAAGAAAGTTTGCTGGAAAATCAATCAAGAAACATCCGCAAATCTCCCTGGAAATTCTATTACATCCGAAAGGATGTGGCAACGTCTAGCTCTAGAGGCTCTTATGGTGTTCTTTCTTAGCTGGGCAGAATTTCTCAGTCAGTTTTGTTGTCACGCTGTGGCAGAGTGGGCGGAGTCGGGCCGAAATTAAGTGATTTTTGGGGAAGGAAACGCGAGAGGCGAGAGGGCCCGACCACTCGGAACCCCTCAGCCCTGAACCCTATCCCCTCCCTTTCCCCGAGCTTTGAGCCCAGCCAGTCAGGGTAGGTTTTCGCCGTGCCAAGTCGCGCCCCTGAAAAATAATTACCCCAAGGCAACAATTACTCTAGAATTCGTCAAGGAACTTCGAGATTTGGCTCATTGTACCTTTTCTCTTTCGAAATTGAGATTTTTGGTATTGATTTCGTACTTTTAATGGCATTTTCGAACAATTTCATGAAATTTTGCATCTCTGGGGCAGAGGGGTTGCATGGAGCGTCACATACGTAGGTAATTTTATTTTTTGTGGGGGTGCAGACCTAGATTAAGCGTGTGTCAATTCTGGGGTAAAATCCTGCCCTGCCTAGGAAAACCGCCGTATGAATCTTCAGGCGTTGCCAAATTTCCTCCGATAAAATACGAATTTATTGGGAAAATTGTACATATTTTTCTTCCAATTTTTCAGACTATTTTGTCCGCAATTTAATCTAAAGCATCTGAGAATTTCAAGGGAAAATATGCATATATTTCGTCAAAAATACATGTTTTATCCGGAGAAATTATGCAACTCTCGAATGTTCATACGGCGTTCTTCCGTAGCACGGCAGATTTGGCAACGGGTCGAATAAAGGGAGGACTTGACTCGGGGGTTGTTTCCGTTGATTTATGAAGGCAGGACCCGTTGGGGCGGCCGCGGAAGGGGGGGGGGGGGCAG